TTCTTCTTCCCTTTTCCTCCCCTCCTTCTTTCCTTTCTCTCTCTCTTTTTCCTCCTCTCTTTCTCTTTCCTCCTTTTCTCCTCTCTCTTTCTTCCTTCTTCCCTCTTCTTCCCTTCTCCCCTTCCTCCCTCTTCTCTCTCCTTTTCTTTCCTCTCCCTTTTTTTTTTTTTTTTCCTTCCTTTTCTCCCTCTTTCCCCTCCCTTTTACTTCTCCTCTCCTTCCTCTTTCCCTCCCCCCCTTCTCCTCTTCTTCCTCCTCCTCCCCTTCTTCTCTCTTCCCTTCTTTTCCTTTTTCCTTCTTTTCTCTCTTTCTTCTCTTTTTCTCTCTCCTCCCCCCCCCCTTTTTCTTTTCTTCTTTCTTCTTTCTTTCCTCTCTTTTCTTTTCCTCTTTTTCCTCTCTCTTCTCTTTTTTCTCTCTCTCTCCCTCTCTCCTCTTCTCCTTTCTTCTTCCTCTCTTCCTCCCTCTTTCTCCCCCTTCTCTCTTCTTCCCTTCTTCTCTCTTCTCCTTCTTTCTCCTTTTCCTTACTCTCTCTCTTTCTTTGTCTCTCCTTCTTTTCTCTTCCTCTCTCTTTTCTTCTTCCTATTCTTTTCTCCCTCTCCTCTTCTCTTTCTTTTTTTCTTCTCTCTTATCCTCTTCTCCCTGTGCGTGGTCGAGGACTCTGCGTGCATCACTTACCCTTATCTTGTTCTCCGTCCGCAATAGCAGCACGGATCATTTTAATGGGACTTCCAATATTGGCAGACATGGTAGTATCGGGCTTTGGTTTGGATGCTTGCTTCTTTGGTTTGCTGGATGATATGACGTTGTTGGCTTTGTTTGTGGTTTTCTGCTGTTGTTTTTCTTGGTGGTTTTTGCGTTCTTCCTCTCACAACAAGCCTCAGTGGTCTCGTATTCCTCGTCACGATCTTCTTCAGCTTTGGGAATTGCCCGCTGCTCCAAAGATAGAGTTTTGAAAGAGTTCAATAAGTGAGCACGTGCGATAATTTCTAGGAGCGAGATGCTCTGGATCCCGTCAGAGATAGCTCCAAAGCTATGCTGGCACTACACGCTCCAGCACCCGACAGCTGGCTTATCTCCAGTCAAAGCAGCAAGAAGGATCGTCCTTTCTACCATAGTAAGAAAATAGTACGAAGATTGAGACCGATCCTGGTTAGCTTGTAGCCCCTTTTGATACGCAGCAGTTGATACCAATCCTTGTTGAGGCCGGGCAGAAGCAGTAGGAGGTAGCAGATAGTACTGTTCCCAGACTGCACATGCACGATTGAATAACGAAGGCCCCAGCTCCTGAGGTGAGCTGGCCCAAAAGGCCCAGCAGAGAGCTCTGCTGGCCTCCTGTCTGACTGACAGGGACCAGTCCTTGGTTTGGTGCCTACTGGAGGTGTTGGAACACTCCTGAGGACGACAAGGCTCCTGAACTGCCTGACTACCGCTGTCCCTGAGAAGGGTTTCAGCGAGACCCAGTCCACTACTTGGGTATTGGAACTGATCTTTCTAGAAACTTATTGGATTCAATCCCAGGTTACGCATTCGGCCTGTGGCAAAGCCACAGAATATTTGTCTACATAGGAAGAAAAAAACAACAGCTATGATAGCAACCAGCACGGCCCGACACCTACCGAGTCTGGTCCATGCTGGATGAGCACGCAATCCATTTGCGCCTACCTTTTGGTCCAGCAACCGACAACCATGCAAGTCCCTCCACTTGTGAGATCTCCAATCTCACATTGTGTTCCACAAGCAGTCGATGCTGAGTGGCGCATGGATGTTCCATTCATGGGAGAGTTTGTAGATAGTTTGTTAGTAACTAGTCGTATATCGTGGCATTCCCATGAGACCGGATCCATACGCACTCGTGGGAGCGATAAAGTCTAGGAACGAGAGCTCTGGATCCCGTCAGAGATAGGTCCAACAGCTATGCTGGCCTACAGCTCCAGCACCCACAGCTGGCATATCTCCAGCAAAGCAGCCAAGGAAAGGATCGTCATTTCTACCATAGTTAAGAAAATAGTACGAAAAGATTGAGGACGATCCTGATACGCTTGTAGCCCCTTTTGATACCGCAGCAGTTGATACCAATCCTTGTGAGGCCGGGCAAGAAGCAGTAGGAGTCAGCAGATAGTACTGTTCCCAGACTGTCACTGCACGATTGAATAACAAAGGCTCCCAGCTCCTGAGGAGAGCTGGCCCAAAGGGGCCCAGCAGAGAGCTCTGCTGGGCCCTCCTGTCTGACTGACAGGGCCAAGGTCTTGGTTTGGTGCCTACTGGAGGAGTTGGAATACTCCTGAGGCACGGCAAGGCTCCCTGAACTGCCTAACTACCGCTGCCCCTGAGGAAGGTTTTCAGCGAGACCCAGTCCACTACCTGGGTATTGGAACTGATCCTTTCAAGAAACTTATTGGATTAACATTCAGCATAGAATTCAGGCAGTCTTAAGGGAAGAAGAGACCTCCTTGACGAGAAAAGGATCTCTTCGAAATAGGCCCCTCTAACTGCACGAGCACTGTGGCAGCCTCGGTGCCTGCTACGCGCTCGCTCACTCCGGTAACCTCTCGACGCCTGTCTCCTCACCATTCCTACTGGGCTATGACTCCAAGGTCATTCAGTACAAGCTCTGGTCAATTTCTAGCCTTAACCAGAGCATCAGGAACCTTTGAGTTGGTCCTTTACTATCTACAACACCAACACAAAGGCCATTTGCATTGAAAAAGACCTCACACTCGCAGAGCCAAACACCTGACGACCTGATGCTATCATCCTGTTAGCGAATATACGCCGATAGCGCAGTTTCATTGTGCGCTCTCGCTTTCCTAGGTGGTCATGGGTTCCTGTTGCCACTCGACAAAAGACCAATTTCGCTCGAAAGACGTAAAAGGCTTGCTCGATGGCCAAGATAGGTGCGAAAACAATAAGTCTCGACTTCACTCGCTTTCTTTGACGTCTTTCGAGCGAATTGGCTGCTTTTGTCGTGTGTGGTGGCAACAGGAACCCGCTAGCTAGTAGGCTAGAGCTAAGAACTCGCTATCGGCAATGAGGGTCGTCAAGGTGTTGGCTCTGCGAGTTTAGGTCTTCTTTCAATGGCAATGGGCTTTGTGTTGGTGTTGTAGATAAGTAAAGGACCAATCAAGGTTCCTGATGCTCTGGTGAAGGCTAGAGCTGTCAGAATTGACCAGAAGCTTGTTGAAATGGACCTTGAGATCACCCCCAAAATGCCAATGAAATTCAATGAATTCAACTGTAGCTGTAGCACTGATTGTTGTATTTCGAAGAGATCCTTTTCTCGTCAAGGAGGTCTCTTCTTCCCTTAAGAACTGCCTGCAAATCTATGCTGACTGTTAATCCAATAAGTTTCTTGAAAGGATCAGTTCCAATACCCAAGTAGTGGACTGGGGCTCACTGAAACCCTTCCTCAGGGACAGCGGTAGTCAGGCCAGTTCAGGGAGCCTTGTCGTGCCTCAGGAGTATTCCAACACCTCCAGTAGGCACCAAACCAAGGACTTGCCCTGTCAGTCAGACAGGAGGGCCAGCAGAGCTCTCTGCTGGGCCCTTTTGCGGCCAGCTCTCCTCAGGAGCTGGGAGCCTTCATTATTCAATCGTGCAGTGGCAGTCTGGGAACAGTACTATCAGTACTATCTGCTACCTCTACTGCCTTGCTGCCCGGCCTCAACAGCATTGGTATCAACTGCTGCGGTATCAAAAGGGCTACAAGCTAATCAGGATCGGTCTCAATCTTTCGTACTTTTTTCTTAACTATGGTAGAAAGTACGATCCTTTCTTGCTGCTTTGCTGGAGATAAGCCAGCTGTGGGTGCTGGCACTGTAGGCCAGCATAGCTATTGGAGCTATCTCTGACGGGATCCAGAGGTCTCGCTCCTAGATTTTATCGCTCCCCACGAGTGCGTATGGATCCGCTCTCATGGGAATGCCACGATATACGACTAGTAACTAACTAACTATCTACAAACTCTCTCCATGAATGGAACATCCATTGGCCACTCAGCATCGACTGCTAGTGGAACACAATGTGAGAATGGAGATCTCACAAGTGGAGGGACTTGCCTGGTTGGTCGGTTGCTGGACCAAAGGTAGGCGCAAATGGATTGCTATTGCGTGCTTCATCAGCATGGCCAGACTCGGTAGGTGTCGGTGGTGCTGGTTGCTATCATAGCTGTTGTTTGTTTTCTTCATATGTAGACAAATATTCGTGGCTTTGCCACAGGCCGAATGCGACTGTTAATCCAATAAGTTTCTGGAAAGGATCAGTTCCAATACCCAAGTAGTCGACTGGGGCTCGCTGAAACCCTTCTTCAGGGACAGCGGTAGTCAGGCAGTTCAGGGAGCCTTGTCGTGCCTCAGGAGTGTTCCAACACCTCCAGTAGGCACCAAACCAAGGACTTGGTCCTGTCAGTCAGACAGGAGGGCCAGCAGAGCTCTCTGCTGGGCCCTTTTGGGCCAGCTCACCTCAGGAGCTGGGGGCCTTCGTTATTCATTCGTGCAGTGGCAGTCTGGGAACAGTACTATCTGCTACCTCCTACTGCTTCTGCCCGGCCTCAACAGGATAGGTATCAACTGCTGCGGTATCAAAGGGGCTACAAGCTAATCAGGATCGGTCTCAATCTTTCGTACTATTTTCTTAACTATGGTAGAAAGGACGATCCTTTCTTGCTGCTTTGCTGGAGATAAGCCAGCTGTGGGTGCTGGAGCTGTAGGCCAGCATAGCTGTTGGAGCTATCTCTGACGGGATCCAGAGCTCTCGCTCCTAGACTTTATCGCACGTGCTCACTTATTGAACTCTTTCAAAACTCTATCTTTGGAGCAGCGGGCAATTCCCAAAGCTGAAGAAGATCGTGACGAGGAATACGAGACCACTGAGGCTGTTGTTGAGGAGGAAGAACCAAAACCACCAAGAAAACAAGAGCGAAAACCAACAAACCAAAGCCAGACAACGTCATATCATCCAGCAAACCAAAGAAGCAAGCATCCAAACCAAAGCCCGATACTACCATGTCTGCCAATATTGGAAGTCCCATTAAAATGATCCGTGCTGCTATTGCGGACGGAGAACAAGATAAGGGTAAGTGATGCACAATAGTGGCTTTCCTCTTCTTGTCCACTACACGCACACTTACATTATTCTTTGGCTTGCACCTTCTTTTATTCAGATCTCGAAGAGTACTACGATATTGATCTAGAGAATGAGGACGCTCATGGAGAATTTCTTGTAACCATGTCGACGGAAGAAAGAGTTGGCAAGAAGCAGGCAAGTTCTATTGTTGTTACACGTCCAAAGACTTCAACTGGTGAAGTGAAACATTTGAAAGCAACCTATACCAAGGACACAATTATTATTGAAAATCCCTCCAAAGATGCCGGCTTTTTGAATGGTGCATCAGGACCCGATGGATGGTTGGCTAAACTTGAACTGATTGAAGGACGATTTGAAGCTGTGAAGCTAGGTACGACGCTCAAGTCAATGGTAACTAAATTGAAGAAGAAACGTCGCCCAAAGACAACCTATATGAACCTCAAGGACATTGGTATCACCATTTCCAATGAACACTTCTCCCCTGGCTGTGCCAAAGGAAAGCTCAAGCTTTTGCCTCTTCCTTATAAAGTTAAAGGAAAAGACAACGAAGAGTTGACGCAAGTCATGGTTGTTTGGAGGGCCTACATTGTTGGAACGCTGGGCAATGTTGAAGAAGACGACCAGCAGACTGGAGACGAGGACCTCTTGAACGAGTTGCTCGGATTGGATGGTATTTAATCATTACGTGTTGACGAACAATCCTACTAGGCTTGCGGTGTTGTAATCAAACTAAAGATTTTTGTTTGCTTATTCCTTTTTGTATTGATGTAGGCAATGATGTGCCACCAAAGCCTCTGCCACCACCAAAAATAGACTACTTTAAACAACTGCTAGAGAGTGGTGAAGCAGCCTTGCACATGGCAAGACTCAACACGGCTAGACACCATCTTGAGCTAGAGTTCCAGAGCCGCATGGAGACTGGAGAAAAAACCGATGGTATCGAAGAGATGCTTGCCGACTTGGAACGCTTCGTGCAGGACAACGCGGATGAACTCGATAAGATCCTTGCAAGAGATGGAGAGCCAACCGGTGGTGATAATGATATGGACGTCGAGAAACCAAACAACAAGCGTGGTCTCGAAAACAAAGAGGATAAAGACGGAACCGAAAACATGGATGGCCTCGAGGACTTCTAGACAATATTGAACGACTAACAACCTCTTCTAAGGATAATTAGACAAAGATTATTAGTCAGAACCAAGTCCTCTATCAACAACCAGTACTAGTAGATTTTAAAGAGTGTGCAGTGGCTCACCGTATGGCGAAGTGTCTTCTATCGCATACTGCGTGAGCACCAAACACGCATTGAAAGCAAGCTTATGGTTGTCAATACCATGAATCCATCTTTTTGTCAAGCAATCAAAGTCCTTCATCTTTTTGTTGAAGACCTCCTGCCTGGCTTTTGCTCCTCCCTAGAATTCTTTTACTTCAGGAGAATCAAGCTCGGACACAACAGCAAACACTCTCTTTTCAGCTTCGGACTTCCCGGTATATCCGGAGTCAGCAATCACTCTGCAGCCATTAGGAACCATATCAAGGAACTCTTTGCGGATTGATGTCATGTCGTGGGTGCTTCCAGTATCTCCAAGATTAGCATACCAAACCTCATTGGTCCACAGTGAGAGGACAATCTGATAATTCAATCCAGCAAAATTGAATTTATACGCGTAGTTCTTTGGATTGCGCCTCATGTCCGGATCTCGAGGTTCATTGGTCCTCATCTGCGTGCCATCAACGGTGGCTCCCATTCTCACTTTCCATACCGATGGGAATTTGATCTTGTGCTGCTTGAGTTCACCATTCATGCGAACAAATTTCCAAATGTAAACGCAAATGTTTTCATGGTAGATCTTGAACCGAGCATTGCGCACATCAGCAGACGCATAGAGCCGAAGGAAGCAATTAGCCAACATGAATCCAGTGAAACCTTTCCTGTCCGATGCTTCCTCAACACTCAGAATGCCGTACACTTGCAAATCCCGATACACTCGTGCGAGATGGAGAGGATGCTTTCCAAAATGAGCTTTGAACTGCCTGACATTCGTAGTTCGCAAGCATCTACTCTGAGTCTTCTCGTCCACATTACAGGTCTTCAGGCCTTCCCTTAGGATGAACGAGGGTGTTATAAGGAATGGTTGCTGCTGTGCTTGTTGTGGGAGCGGCATTTTTGGCCATTGTCGATGGACACCGTGGAGAAAATGAAACAAAATAGTCGCGGTGAAGTCGCGATAGTCGCGATAGTCGCGCGGTACTAGTCGTTGTATAGTCGCGGTGCGCGACTATCGCGACTATCGCGACTTTCGGCGATCCGATCGATACCATTTCAGCCCTGGTTGAACTAGGGTTAGCACCTAGGGTTAACACGCGAAACCTGGGGCCTTCCTGGTACCAGGTACGCATAGCTACCGGCAGGTAGCAAAACTTCGCTCAAAGGACACACATGTACATGCAGGTAAGATGTAACTTGGGGATTTCCGGGGCAAGTGCATGGCAAGTTCCGAAGCTACCCTACTAGTATCATGATCCATTGCAGGCATAGCATCATCCCAATGGGAGCAACCACCGATCTTGGGTGTCCAATGACAGACGTTTTCTTTTTCTTTCATTTTGAAACCATCAAACCATGACGAACACATTTTGATTCTAGTGTAGTTTAGTTTAGTTCAGTTCGATGTTGACACCTCTCTCGAGGCAAGACAGCCAGTTTCAAAAACGAAAACGATCGCTGCTTAAGTTTCGTCTCTCGTCTCATCACAACAAACAAAAACAAAAACAAATACTTCTTCTGTCTTTTCTGCCTCAAAATACAATGAGTATGCATGCATGACGATGACAATGATGGAATTGAGAGTCCCACGTTCACGTGCCTCGAGATGTGCATCTACGGATGGACCCTCGCGCGGACCGCTGTGTGGTTGAACGGATCCTAGTCATCTTGCGGCGGTTCGTTCCTCTGTGGGGTGCTTGGTTGGGTCGTTCGTCCTCGTACATTAATTATGGTAACAGTCAGTTCTTCTGTTTGGCGGGGTCGCTCGCGTCTCACTAGCCAATCTCTTCGTCTTTTCTCTTGGCTACCGTAGTAGGTTCGTTCGATGTGGTTCGAGATCGATGCATGCTGTCCGTGCGTGTTCCGTACTCGCTTGCAAAGGTGGCCGTCTGTCGTCCATTTGTACGAACTGAGGTCGATGTGAAGGATGACATGGTGGGGAGTTCGACGTAAAAGTATGAACTAAAATAGAGGGGAATTACGCTACGAGGTAGATCTTCATTAGGGTTGAGGTTGATCTCGATGTGACA